TAGATTTATACATATTGGATAAGCAATGAAAATAACCTGGAATTTGGTAGCAGACCTCAGTAACGAGAAATCGAGGTAAGAGTTATAGTATAGAATGACCTACTTAGATACAGTGTCATACGGATGGATAACCGGGTCTATGAAATAAGATATAGCAATATTCGTAAGTTCGACAAATACCGAGCGAAGAACTTCAGTAATGGTTAAAAATCGGTGAAAAAAGGAAAGAAGAGACGCATAAGCGCACTTACAAGGTCAGAGTCGTACAGGCTGCATGATAAAAGGTAGCAATAGCTACGAGATTGGAAGGATTCCGACCATAAGTCGTAGTGTGAGAAAGTGGCCTAAAGGGGGAATACTCTGGCCTTTGGACTTATTCACAGAATAGTTGCCTAGATGGCAAGAAGAGCACTAAAGTATTCGTAAGAGCTATGGGTTATGAGAATGATAAGTGCATCAGTCAACATTTGAGGACGAATGTTCCAAAGGGGCGAATGATGTTACACCCCATATTTTCGTACATAGAAATACGCCATAAGTAAATTGATAAAATCTCGGAAGTGAGATTATCTCGAGGTTAGCATAATTATGTTATTTACAACAAGCGATAAGTGCCATGAAGGATAAAGGGTACACGAATTAAAGTAAATGAGTTTAGTTGAAGGTTGTCAATTTAGGATAAAATACGGTCTGAGTTATAATACCTGATATTTATGGACTAGTACCATACAAGGTACTATAAGACCGTGATAGTATGATGTATAAAGTATATTAAAAAATGAGTAGAACTTTAAGTAAATTGAGAAAATTTTTAATTTTGCGGGTAATTGATTAATTATCAGGTAACGGGATATTACATAATTACTTAATAAGTGGATAATGATTAATATTTTCCACCCACCCCACGTGACAGCCACTATGTCTATGTACATATGACTCATACAATTGAGGGAAAGGTGGCAAAACATTAAGGAATTCAAGATTAAGTACTTAGTCCTAAAGAATTCAAGACTCAAGTCTTCAAGGTTAAAATCCTTAATGGTAACGTTGATGACTTCAAGACAGAAGCCTTCATTATCCAAGTCTTGAATTTAATAGGTAAGACTTACTACAAGTCTTTGTTTCTATTCTTTATTTTAGACAACAATCAGAACAAAGATAAGTCTTTGTTTCCATTTTCATTTTGGACAAAAAGAGAACCAAGGACGTTCATATCCAAAGAGCAAGAAACAGATACCATTTTCTTAGTTCAAAATACGGTAGGAACAGAAGCTAAATTCAGTTTACGAAGGCTTCCAACGAGAATTTGTTGGAATCGTAGTAACGTAAAATTTTGCGGTTCTAAATGAGTACGGTGCAATCTTCTCCAAGAATATTATACGGAGTTTTCCCTACTCCAGGTATATTAAGGTTATCCCTTCTTTCTTTTTGGCATGATTCAAATTATACAGAAGAAACAAGCAAACACACAATTTTCATAAACGACTCTATTCATAGAGATACTAGGGGTCTCTGTGTTCTTGATTCTCCATGTGACATATTATTATATCTCCTATTCATGGGTTTTAGAATAATACGCAGTTGATAAAGTTTATCCGAAAGTAATATTGAGATTATTAACATATTTTCATGTATTTATACCTGTGCATTTACCCATGACTCAGACGGCGTTATATATATATATTACGGCGTTATATACGCACCACCACCTGATCAGCTGGTATACGTTGATGATTTGCCCACAGTGGCCGAGATGATATGATGGGATGCCCTCAGAGGCTTGATGATGTTATGAACGCATATACCCATGCATGGTATGACATTTATACGCATATGCACGACATTATAATGTTAAATGATTCACAGAGTTATTCAGATATACATGTTGAGTCTTTTACTCCATGTTTCTCTCATCTCTACTAGTTACTGATTTTCATTCCTTACATACTCGGTACATTATTTGTACTGACGTCCCTATTGCCTGGGGATGTTGCGTTTCATGCCCGCAGGTCTTGATAGATAGGTTGAGAGTCCTCCAAGTAGGCTGTCAGCTCAACCATAGGTGTTGGTGCGCTCCATTTGCTACGGAGTTGCTTCTTTGGTCAGTATGATTAGTGCATGTATTGATTAGTATGGCGGGACTCTGTCCCAAGCTTCATGATATTATGTATTCTTAGAGGCTTGTAGACAGATGTCATGTATACGGATACTTGTATGGCCTTGTCGGCCTATGTTTCGAGTATATAAAGAATCATATCGGCCTTATAGGCTCGTACTTCATATGTATAAGTTTGTATTCCTCATGCTTTATTTCGGTTCATTTACCTACAATAGAATGATATGAAAGATACGTTATGTTGGTAATCGGTTGAGTAAGGTACCGGGTGCCCGTCGCGGCGCATCGGTTTGGGTCGTGAGAAAAGCAATGTGCGAACTAACGTCAGTTGGTTCCTGATTTGGCACTTCCCCAGGGTTTATTGGCGGTACACCGACCCCTGCATTGCTGTTTTCCCCGTGAAATCCAAGACCTTCGTTGTCATGAACAAGTGTATTTTGCGATTTTGACATGTTTAATCCTGAGAATCAAAAAATCTTGACAAGAAAAAGTGTAAAAATAACGTGTGGAACGAGAATCAGTAAAGAAATAATCACTATTATCTTTAGCCCCAGGCGCCAAACTGTTTACCTCGAAAATACGAGTAACAATTAAATTTCATTTGTGGTTTTAAAGATATGTGATTAAATTTGATATCAATTAATAATCAAGAGATATGAAGTAGAAATGAAATAAATAAGTGAATCAAACCAATGTTACTCAGCAGTGGTGACCTCGAGCCTAGTGACCTCGAGATGAACTAAGAGCAATAAAGTAAGAACGATAAATGTAAAGGACAATTCTGATGAACAGTAAGTGAAAAGTAGGATAGTATATTCTTGCCAATGATGAGATGATATTACAAATGATTGGGGTCCCCTTTATATAATAGGGGAACCCTAAATAAGGTATATTTCTATTTACAGTAAGGAATATTCTTGATACAGCTGTCTAACCGCCTGGTACGAAATCGTACAATCCTACTCCGGGATTTGCGACATGATCTTGAGGACGTGACAGGAATCTAGCTCATTCTGTTACAAATCCATAACGGTACAAGTTCGGGGTCGAATCACACTTGACTTCGGTATTCCTCGCACTCCTAACTTCGGGCATTGCATTTCATCCTCGAGCTCGAGTGTAGTCTGTCGACCTCGAACTCGAGCTTACTTGAACTCGGACCTAAGGCGATCCCTCGAGCCTGGGAAATCGAGCGTGCCTGGTTTCGACTGTATACAGATACCATTTTTTCTCTCTCTAATTTTTCCCCTCTTGTTCATTATATATCTCTATTTTATACTTGTAATTTAATTAATTATACTAATGATCTTTAGTTTACTTTACCTTTTAATTTCTGATATTATTGTCCTCGTTAAATTTTTGGTAGGGCAACGCACATAAAAACTAAACCCATTATAGGTGATATTTATTACAAATCAAATGATATTATAAAGTATCAACAAATCAAATGATATTATAAAGTATCAACAATGTAGGGAGAAAATACGAAAAGGAGGCCAGAGACCATCACAACGTACAAAACATTTACCATCAATTTTTTGACCCCGTTATTTATCCCATGGGTAGAGCTTTAAGTTTAATAAGTGTTGCCCCTCGCTTGTTCCATAGGCAACACTTTTGACTTTTTACCTTAAACGTTTGTCCATGGGACAAGGTGCGGCCAAAAAATCAAGATCATCCATTTTTAAGGTCATTGGGTATAATTTCTTGTTCTAGAAATCTCCATGAAGTACATTAACTGCAATTGTATTTATTCTTTATTTTATAAGTGTATCTCTAATATTTGCAGTATTTTGTTAAGATTTGCGATCATATGATTTTGATTTGTGTTTGGTTATCTCCAATATTGGGTTTCCTATGTGCATTGCTCCACCAAGAAATAAAAAAGAACAAGAACCTAGGGTAACATATTTGAGCAACAATATTAATATCACAAACAATAAGGTGAAGTAAAATCAACAGTATAGTTACTTGAACTACAAGAAATAACCTATCAGCTAAGACCAGCCAAACATGTTAAAGAACAAATATGAATTTATTAAAGTTTATGGTCATGTCTTATTAAATTCTGGCTTTAAGCTACCGAATTTATTGAGCTGACCTGATTCATGTCAATTTTAATGATAGTTGTAATCCTTGTTTGATGTGCATCTTGGTATTATATTCAAGTTTACTATGGAGTTGTGCATTTTGATTCCCGAATTTGGATATGAAGTTAAATGTGAAATTAATTGGGAGATAATTTGAGGTACCTGGGTGAAGGAAAATTGAGAGATTTATTTACATGTTCATGAGCATTAAGAGTTCCAAAGTTATGTAGCAGCATATCAGTAGATTCGTCTCATATTTTTTCCTACATGCAAAACCTCACAAATTAGTGTTTTAGTACTTACCCTTCTTCTGTAGTTTCATTGTGTACACTAATACGTATCACTTAAGTAATTATAATGAAATGACAAAGAGGTCAGAACGGGACACCGATAGACGATGGATATTTCATTACGTTGAACGGCTTAATTTACACAATATATCATGTATTGCGACAGAATTCTTGGGAAGGAAATACAAAATTTAAAAAACTTGAATAGAGGATAACCTAGATTATTCTCCTTTGTGACAAGAATTTTCACGTGCTTAATGTTCTAAAAAATCAGGCGTGCTCGTGAGTGAGTGTGTTAAAGATATAATTAAGTAAATAAAAATATACACCTCGGCAATACTACTTCCTTCTCACTTCCTTGAGGATGACCATACTTTTAGAGGATTGAAGGGAGGGTTGGGGAGAAAGACTTATGCAATGTAGAGAAGATTGTGACACAATAGAATTCTCAATGTACTAGCTTCACCCACCCGCCCATCCAGGTTGCCATTCCAACAAACAAGGCAGCTAATAATGAGTAACATTTTAACAGCAAAACTGTTCAATTTATCTCTTTCAACTTGGGAGGTTTATATCAACCAAAAATCAGGAACTATCAAGTTCGCAGTGAAAATCTATTCAAGTTGTAGAAGACTTGAAGGAACATATAACATGTGTACCATTTGGGTTTGGATTAACTACACATATTTCTCCATAAGATTTCCATGTTTCTGTCATAATCTAGCTGAAGCACCAGAAATGGCCTGATCAATGAGTTCTCTTCTCAAGATCTTTCCTGCTGGAGATCTTGGTATTGAGTTAATGAATGCAACACGCCGTATCTTTTTGTATGGTGCAACCTGCAAGATATCCTTTGGTTATAATATGCTTCAGCGGATAATCAGCAATTCTTATTGTCCATCCTAAGAAGAAACACAATCATTTCATCAAAGTTCTCCATCTTTACAGAAAGTAGGATCGAAGATTGTTTGTGTGTATATAAGCATCCCATGTTCACATAAGGTTTGGGAAAGGGCCGCAACTGAAGGAGTGTAGTGTAGGCAGCCTACCATGACACAAGCATCAGTGGCTGATTCCTCGGCTCGAACCTGTGACCTCTAGGTCACATGGAGACAACTTTAACTTGTCTTATGTGGTGTTAAGGATTTTAACAATTGGACAATTTTAGCATGTATCCACTATACACTAAGGTTGCAGTGCTTAAAAGTCCTAACAAATTTCATAGGCGTATGCAGCTTATGTTCAATGGGTTCAACTGAATTGACCAAGTTTAAATTACGTCTTGTGACAATCTAATAGATGCTTCTTTAATGGAAAGAGTTTTAGTCTTATATATATATATATATATATATATATATATATATATATATATATCCAATTGGTAGCCAATGAAATGCTGAAAGTGATCATCATCATTACCGTGAGGACATGAATTATGTGTCTAANATTATTTCTCTTAGTTGAAATATATGTATGATATATATTTAATAGTCACAATTGATATATATATATATATATATATATATATATATATATATATATCCAATTGGAGGTGTACCTGTTTTGCAATTGAATCCACAATGTGACACTCACTAATAGTGCTCCCAGGTTTTCTGACAACATAAGCCATTGGAATCTGCCCTGCTTCTTCATCAGGATATCTACATCAGAAGAAACGAAAAGAATGAGCAAAGCATCAGAACATCAAAGGGATTAAGAACTGCTTGGGAAGCTTAAAATATCCACAACTAGATAAATATGCAGATGATTTTGTATAAGAGTCTTATTAGCATTTAACTATCAGCATAAAACTACTAAAAGAATGTTGGGTCCAACTAATTTCTTATATTACTTGTGCCTACTCCAGACTAAAATTCACATGCTGAAATTTTTAAGCTGAATGGATCTTCTAATTACGATCGTCCTGTCTCTTTTATCATTTTTCTTATAACTGAATGTAGAAATAAAGGTATGATAAGATGAACACAAGCTCTTCTAAATGAGCAGATTGTCACAGTGTGCCCCTGCACAATTCAGACGAGGACCAAAGATTTGATGATCTAAAAGCCTCTCGTCTCTTAGAGTGAACGGGAATAGAATTCAAAGGTACTAAGTCAAAAGTATCCACATGATCGTAAGAGCTGCAGAAGAGAGATTAGAATTATCTTGCGGACATTGCTAGCGTTACAGAAGCCTGGAGAACTGGCACCTATTTTTACTCAAGACTTGCTAGGAAAAAACAACTGCCACACATATAACTATCAATCAGAGGATTCAGTCAAATTATTACTTCAATAAGCATGACAAAGCAAGGAACTGATAGAAAATTCTTGACGTCACACTTCGGGATTGACGCAATACCAAACTCGATACATGTCGAATTTGTATTACCAAGTTCATATGCTTGTTAGGTGGACTGATCAAGAAAAATGATGCATCAAGGATAACCAATTAATGAAGTATCTTAAATATACTCCAGCATAACTTCCCAGAAATTATGAACAGGGATAAGAGAATATAATACTTTCTTGACCAATGTCAAATTTCGAACAGTTATTATGAAATTGGTAGTCAAGAACACCTATGTCCACAAAATTAAGGTAGAGGATGTTGAGATGGATGTGTAAGCATACCAAGATAGACAAAATTAGGAATGAAGATATTATGGACACGGTGGGCGTGGCCCACATGGAGGATAAGATGCGGGAAGCGAGGCTTAGATTGGTTCGAGCATGTTAAGAGCAGAGGCATATATGCCCCAGTAAGGAGGTGTGAGAGATTGGCCTTGGTGGGTCTAAAAAGAGATAGAGGTAGGCCAAAGAAGTATTGAGGAGAGGTGATTAGGCAGGACATGGCGCTGCTTCAGCTTACCAAGGTTATGACCCTTGATATGCAGGTGTGGAGGTCGATTATTAAGGTAGAAGATGAATAGAAAGTCGTGCGTTTTTCTTGTCCATACAAGTAGTATTAGTATTAGTCACGTACTTTCTTATTTTTTGTAGATTTTTATTGCTGGTTGCTATTTCTTTCGCTTCAATTTTCTTGTTATCTCGCTGATGTTACTGCATGGTGCTACTACTTTTTTCATCTTTCTTTGAGCCGAAGGTCTATCGAAAACAGTCTCTTTACTTTCTCCATGTGAGGTAAGGTCTGCGTACACAGTGCCCTCCCCAGACTCCACTTGTGGGATTACACTGGGTTTATTGTTATTGTTCCTTTATAATGAAATTGGTAATTTTGGTGTACTCAAGCAAAAGTTGTAAATTACTGAGAGAGTTGGAAAAAATCAGATACCAGAAATGATAATATGTCGATTTTACAAGCCGTCTAAATTTTATGGCTGAAGTTTCATTATTTCATGTCACGTGTTTAAAAAAGAATTGTGCTGTAGAGCGCAGAACATTAATCTCTAGCTGGAAGATCTGAAGAACCATGTCTAACTTCAAGAATGATCGACCTGTTTAACAGCTTTCACTGAATAGTAGCAGGACAATACAACAAATAAGAAACCTCTTTAAAAGCAAAGTCCATCTTGCAACTTTTGTTTAGTACTTCCCATATGTGCATATTAGATAAAAAACAAAAACACTCGAAATTACGTTTAAGCTGTAAAAACAATTATATTTCCATCATTGGGAGGACATATTTTCTTAGCTCTATAGGGTTTCCCAGTTCAACACTTCTGATACATGGATAGAAGGATGTCAAGGGACAGAAAGATAAAAGAGAGAGGAGCACTAACGGAATAACTGCTGCATCAGCAATTTCAGGAATTGATTGAAGCAACTGTTCCAGTTCAGCAGGGGGTACCTGAAAGAGCATCCATCCATAAGCAACGACATAGTAGAAGAGATGAAACTACAAGTTTGCATAAAACTCAATAGCTGTATCAGGATCACCATCAACAAAATTACCTGATATGCCTTGTACTTTATCAGTTCTTTTAGCCTATCAACAATAAACAGGAACCCATCCGAGTCAAAATAGCAGAGATCACCAGTTTTTAGCCAACCTTCTGAATTAAGAGTGGCTGATGTTTCTTGTTTATCTCCAACATAACCTGCCATTAACCAACTTTCTGTTTAAATACTCAAGCATACCAAAGAAAGTAGGTACAAGCGTACAACACTAGTTAAGATTAGATAAAAATGGGTATATTTTTCGGTTTTTATTTTACTACTTCCATGGTATAACATAATCATGTACAACCAACTCATGACTATTATTGAACTGTCATCTCATCCAATAATTGCTTTCATGTTCATCGATCCCAACTGCCAAGTTTTGCATAAACTAACAGGTTAATTATAAGCTATATATGCATTCACCTTTCATGATTGTTGGCCCGCGTATCCAAAGCTCTCCACGCTTCCCGGGAGGTAAGGCCTCCTCACTATCAGGATCGACTATCTTAGCTTCCAAATTATCTGCAAGGCGACCAGCAGATCCATATCGGGCTGTTTCCTCAGGTCTTATCATCCCTGTACCTGCTCCCGTACTCTCGGTTAGACCATATCCCTACGATGAATCACAGGTAAACGCATTAAACCCAAAGGCTATGTCATATTAGATGCATGGAACGATGAATTAACAGTTAAAAGTGTGTCTATATATAATAAGTAAAGTTCATCTATGAGAACATTGACCTTCTCATTCGTTGCTGACCATAATAATTTGTTAAAAAGGATTACTTGATGCTTAGCTTGTCAAATTTTCCAAATGAACTTTCTATGAGAATCACTATTTTATTATAGAAGAAAAAAGTGTAAACAATAGCATATGCCAGGAAAGGCAACATCAGTTATTGTTTTATAATCAATAAAGAGGTAGACAAAAAGCAACACTTCTTGCTACTAAACATACAGAGAAAATAAACAAGTTGTTGAATGCTTCACACAATGCGGCTAAACAAATGAATACAGATGCATGCATCTGTGTTTACCTACATATATAGTTATATTGCTTTCAGAATCTCCTCTTTCAAGTGTTGTAAACGATAATGTAATGCACATATAAAATATGCAACCTTACTGAAGACCAGAACAGAATGGGAGCCTTGGAGTAACGGTGAAGTTTTCTGTGTGTGGTCTACAGGTTATGGGTTCGAGCCATAGAATCAACTACTAATGCTTGTGTTAGGGTAGTCTACCTACATCATACCACTTAAGGTGCAGCCCTTTCTCCGGATCCTGCGTACTATGCTTTGTGCACCGTGCTGCCCTTTACCGAAGACCAGAACAAATGCTTATAGATAAGAAAAAAATCCAAGGGCATTTCCTTCTCATAAATATTTTGACCAAGTTTCCTAACACCGAGTCATGCATTATAAACGCATTTCAGTACAGGTATCAAAGGCACTGTGATGTGGATCTTATCACTCATGGACTATCTTGAAGAAGGCAGCACAAAATAATGAATATACATGCAAATTGATATATTAATTGCAATGAATGTGTTAGTTAATAGGAAAAAGAAATTTAGCAATTTAATATAAGGAAACTAGTCTTTTAACCTGAATAGAAACTTAAAAACTTAATCTCTGCAAGTTTGCCAAACCTACAACACTACTGAATGAGTCCTAAAGAAAATGAGATTAAGAAGCCAAGTTAAAGAGTTATTAAGAAAGGGCATATACGAGAGAGCATCAGTCCTTGTGCAATACCAGCCGGAAATTGGAGAATGTGTGTGGACATTATTGTCCCTTTTCCCCAGACTCGTACGTTTGGACACATATATGTGAAACCCACCTAACTCAATTAAAGTGGGTCGTGAAGTATGAAGTACTAATTTATGAGTTAGAATGAGTTTAACCAAAATTAAATTATCTAAACAGTTGACTTAGGGTTCTTTTTTTTTTTCTGAAATTGTTGAGAATTAATAATTTTAATTGATTGATTAGGCGTTTGGACAATATTTAATGAAGTTTGAAAAATATATTTGAAGTTGAAACTGCAAAAGAGTATTTGAAAAAATCAATTGCAGAGTACTTACTACTTCCTCTATCCCAATTTATGTGTCATAATTTCCTTTCTAGGTTGTCCTAAAAAGAATGTCATACATTTTCATTAAAAAATAATTTAACTTTAACCTTCCTACTTACACAAAATGAGGTGATTTATAGCCACAAAATATCTATGACTTGTTTTAGACCATAAATTTTTAAAATTTTCATTTCTTTCTTAAACTCCGTGCTAAATCAAATACCACCACATAAAATGGGACAGATGGAGTAGTTATGAACAAGTCATTCGTTTAATAACTCATTCTTAAAGTGCAAAAAAAATAGATGTAACTCGATTGATTAAATAGATGCTAAAAAACAAACAAATATAAGGAGAAGAAAAAAGATTGGGATGGGCTATGATGCATTGGTGTCCGATCTATTGGTGCTCCAACTAATCAAGATTTGGGTTGTGCTTTCTATGGGCTGTTCTTTCTACCAAAAAAAAATTTTTTTTTTCAAAGGCTCGAAATCGGACCTCTAATTATAAATCAATGAATCATATTCACGAGCATAGTCCTTGATGGCTATGATGTCATTACACCATTTTCTTTTTTTGGGTAAAAAGAAGAATTTTCATTAAAACTAATAAACATTCATCACACATCGCAACTCAACTAAGCTCATAAAAAAGTTGAATTATGGCTCATCAGGTTAGCCCATTTAATGCCACGAAATTCGATCCAACTCACCCAACTTTTTAATTATGTTTTCTTTTCCGAAATTTCGAATATTTTTAACAGATTGGACAACTTTTCTGAAAAAAGTAGTAATTTGTATGAAAAAAAGTATCTACAAAAGGGAAATCTGTTAGAATAGTGTAATCCTTCTTAAATATTGTTACCAAAAGAAGATTTATTCAATAAAGAAGCACCTCGATAGTTGTATTAGGGTAAAATCAGTTCGTATTGAATACTCGTATAATAGAGCGACACGTGGAATCAGAGACAGACAGAAAGCGAGACAAGTGGAAACCAAGACTGGGGGCAGCAGCTTCGGTTGGCACCGGAAAGACCCCGAAGGGAATATTGCTAATAAATACAAACGAATGTCTGTCACCCGATAGCATTCAATGAAGAATATTTTGCAATATTAAATACACAGTTCACTATAGAGAATTTTAGCATTCATAGCCCGACGTTACATATTTATCAATGGTCTCCATAATTATCATTTAAGATGGGCTTGATCCTAGGACCTTGTTCCCTATGTGCAGCTATAAAAAGTGACTTTTCAACAGTCATGGTAAGAGACACTAATTTTCTAACAAACTTATGTTAAAGTCATGGTAAGTGACCAAGCTATTTGCTGTCTTATCTCGATTTCAACGCTAAGTCTTTTATTTTGTTTAGTTTACTTATCATTTTGGGATCCAGTTGATTCTCTTGTCTATAAACCACGTTACAAATTCAATACCATTTTACGAGTAAAGAGTTTGACACCCACCGTGAGGCTTAGACAGTTGCGTAGTTGAGTTGATCCTTGCATCTATTACTAACCTGTTTAATTCGTTGTTTCTTAGCGAAAAATCGTAAAAAAAATGGCAGATAACGATGTCAACATCACGCATAACGTTGAGGCCCAAGGAAATCAGCCTCAACACGAAGATTTGATCAGTGATACCCGCAACGAGGAGGATATAACCACGCTGGTCCATGGCAGGCAATATCCACGACACGTTTGGGAGGCAACTTATGATGATGCTGAAGACGAGCACGTTGCGGAAACAATGAGAATCCTGAGGGAACAACAAAAGACTATTATGAGCCATATCTCGCGACAAGATCAGGTCATAAAAGAGTTGAGGAAAGCGTTCTCGGGTGCTTCCAACAACGTGAATGAAAGAGGTTCAGTTCGTCCCGGTGCTCCCCCAAACCCAACAGCACAAAGGGTTGATAATAACACCCCGAGGGGTGAGGTCGGCTTCGACGGGGTCGGTGGAACAACAACGGATCTGGTAACAATAACGGGAATGATCCTTTTAAAACCGAACTCATGCAGTTTATGAGGGAAATAGACGCCCGAATGGACCAGATCCCGGGCGCACCGCCAGTGTTGAAAGGACCGGACTCAAAAAAATACACCCAGTTGTCGTTCAAACTAAGAGCGGCACCGTAGTTAACCCCGAAGCGGTTCAAAATGCCGGACGTGCCAAAATATGATGGGACTACTGATCCTCAGAAGCACATCACCACCTACACAACGACGGTGAAAGGAAACGACTTAGCTCCACACGAGATTGAATCTGTCTTGCTGAAGAAGTTCGAGGAAACCCTCACGAAGGGGGCCCTGACATGGTATTCACTTTTACCCGAGCACTCAATCGATTCCTTTGAGATGCTCGGGGATTCTTTTATCAAGGCCCATGCTGGGGCTAGGAAGGTGCAGGCCCGAAAGGCCGACATATTCAGAATTGCACAAAGAGAGTCTGAACTGCTGCGAGAGTTCATGACCAGATTTTAGAAGGAAAGGATACATCTACCAGTCGTGCCAGATGAATGGGCAACTGAGGCATTTACTAAGGGGCTGAACCTGAGGAGCTCTAACGCCTCCCGAAAACTGAAAGAAAGTCTTCTCTAGTTCTAGGCAACAACAAGGGTAGATGTCCAGAACTGCTATGAATCGAAGATAAGAATAGAGGATGACCAGCTCGGTTTCCCGGCATCAACAAAGGGACGGGACCGAGAGAAGAATAAGGAAAAGTTGAAGGATGATTTCAACGCGGATCAACGTCTTCTAAAGGTCGATTTGTGCCCTACGAAAGGGCCGAAGGATGCGGCAGAGGTTTCCGATCAGCGGACAGGTTCGCTAGCGATAGGAGAGTTGACCGTGGCCGGAATAATAGATCCTTGTAGGACAAAGAGGTGTCGGGCTCCCGGGATTCCACCTACCCCAGATTGTCCGAGTATAACTTCAATGTCAGCGTAGTGGAACTGGTATCAGCGATGAAGAATATTAAGGAAGCATAGCTCCCGAGGTCGATGAGATCCAACCCCTGTTAGAGGGATCTTAACCTATGGTGTGAGTATCATGGGACTAACGGCCACAGACTGGGGAATGCCGACATTTGCGCGAAGAGATGGCGACATTGCTGAAAAACGGCCATCTCTAAGAGTTCTTAAGCGACCCGGCTAAAAATAATTACACTCGCAACTGGGATAACGTGAACCCTCGAAGATGGGAGAAGATTCTCCTCGTCTAACGATCAATATGAATTCCGGAGGGAACGAGATTAATGGTGTAATATTTTCAGTCGTAAAAAAAAAAGGTATCGGCGACCCATAGCAAAAGACTCAAAGAAGTCGCCGAGGACGATATCGCCATCACGGAAGAGGACGCTGATGGACTCCTACTACCGAAAAACGATACCCTGGTAATTTCTCTTAATGCTTTAAATTTTAAGATAAAATGTGTTTTGATGGACCCAGAGAGTTCAGCCAATATTATCCAATGGAGAGTGCTGGAACAAGCCAAGCTAATCGGAAGCATCATTCTTGCCACAAAGTTTCGCCCGGTT